ACTTTCTGGTTCTATTTTGCTGGTCGAAGTGCTCCCGTGTTAGTTCCTTGACTTTTTCTTCTTCTAGTTCCATATGTTCCATGACTTGGTCCCATACCCTATCAATTTGCTCCTTGTTGTGTCACTTGCCAAGATACTTGAAATTAGGTTTTTCCGCTTCTTGTTTTCTTGCTATTTCTCTGCTCTTTTCTTTATTGCTTCGAGAATCCATTGCTTTCTGAGAGATCTGGCTTCACTCTTGCACAGTTTCCTCAGGTCTCTTTACTTTTGTTCCATCTCTATTCTCCAATCCTTAACTTTCTTCGTTGCACTCAGATATCTTAAGTTTACTTTTGTTTCTGGCAACGCTCTTATGTATCTGTTAATTCTGACTCTTTTTTCATCGTTTCTTCTCTGTTCCTTGTATTACGCGTTTTTTCTATTTCTCTTGCAATTCTTATGGCCTTGTTTAGTTTTCTGAAAGCTGTAAATTGTGCTGTCTTTATTCTTTTACTGAAATCTTGCACCTCTGTTCTGAGGGTCTTTTTTGGGATGCATCTTTCTGCTGCTTCCCTTCAGCATTCTTTTAGTTTCTCCCATCTATAACTTGAATCTTCTATTTCTTTTTCCTCTTCATTATTTTCTAGTTGCTCTTTATTTCTGCATACTGCTCTCATATATTCAATTTCTTTCCTCCATTCCCTTCATTTGTTTTCAGTTATCTGTTTGTAATCATAAACTTTTCTTTCGCTTGTTGTTCTGAATCTTTTGATTTCTTTTGTAATTATATACAAGTCTATCTCTATGTTCACTACCTTGTGGTCTATATTCAAACATTGTCTGATATCTGTTATGGATGAGGCTTTGCATAGTTTTCTCAAGTCCTCTGAGAGCCATATCATGTCTATTCTGCTTTTTGATTCTTTGCCCATATGTATTCACTTGTATTCTTGTTATGTTGTCTGAAGGTGTCATATAGATCAAGTTTCCTGAGCATTTCAATCCATTTCTTCTTTTCCTTTGGTTCATTTATCCTGTTCTGTCCATGTTGTCCTTTATTGTCGTATTCATATCTTCGTTTACTATTATTCCCATTACTTGTTTTTTCCTCCATTCTGTCATGATTTTCCTCATTTCTGCTATTGTCTCTTTTCTTTCCTGACCTAATTGTGGTGGTACATATATCTGTATCACTCCTATTTTCTGTCTCTCTTTAAAGGTTAGTTCCATGGCCAAAATTCTTCTCTGCTATCTTGTTATTTTTCCTATGTGTTTGGCCCAGTCTCTTTGAATGATTAGTCCCACTCCTCCAGATTGTTTTTCCATATTTGCCCAGTAAGTCTTGTATTTTTTGTCTCTCATTGTTTCCCTATTAGTTGTTGTTTTGAATTTTGTATCGAATATCCCTATTATATTTATATTGTTTTTGTAATAGTAATATTGTAATTGCTGTTTCTTAAACTCTTTATTCAAGCCATTTATGTTTATTATTGTAATTTTTATGTTTTCTGTATCAGTTCTTTTTTTTTTGTACATGTTAATATTTTTTGGGTTATTATGTTTATCCTTATGGTGTGTTGTCATACTTGTTTGGATTTGTTATTGGGCCTCGCATTTCCTACTGTCTTTTATTTTGTTGCCTCTTTTTATTAAGTGGTAGCTGACGATTTTCCAAAAGTTTGCTTAGCATTTTTCCCATCTGTTCCATTTGCCTTTCTAGTTTGTTTTGTCTTTCCGCCGCCTTCTTGTTGATTGTCTTGTATGTTGCCAGAGGGATTTCTTTTTCTTCCCTGCCCATTTCTTCTGCATCTTGATATTGCATTTGTTGCTCATCTGTACTCTTATTGTTGGTTTGTTGGTTCTCCTGCTCTTCCTGCGGCTCATTTCACCAATTCCATAATACATTAATTTTTGTTTCCATATTTTTAATTAATTTTTTTAACCTGTCTAGTTTTTCTCTTATTCCTTCTTGTTCTTATTTTCTCTCTTTGTTGTAGACTGATCTTGATCTGCTTCTCTTCCTCAGAATTTCTGCATAAGATATAGGAGCTTCTTTTTCTGGTCCTTTTCTGAACCTTGACTG